CGCACGCCCCGCTCACCCGAGGTGCAGTCCTCGAACCGGATGGAGTATCCCACCTCGTTGCCCAGCTTCACACCCATCTCCTGAGCCACGCGGGCTGCCACAGACATGGCGGCCACGCGCCTGTGGAGCGGGGCGGGAGCAGTACATACCACACGATAAGGCTTGCCGCGTGGGGCAGGGCAGGCGCAGCCGGAGCCGCTCCCGCCAAGCAGAGACGCTGCCCTGACAGGAGCACCCGGAGCCTCTCCTGCCCTGCCAAACAGCCTGCACACGCCACCCAACAAGGCTGCCACCATGTGATGTTGTGCCCGGTGGGGTCAGCTGCAAGGGCCCCAGCCTAGCCCGCCGCCCACCTGGGCTGCGTGCACCCGATCCTGCCCAGCTTCCCGTACCCTGCCTCGTAAAGGTACTGCATGGTGCGGTACGGGCAGTATATGCGGCACATGGAGGTCAGCCCGCCGAATGGCAGCCGCAAGGCGCCATGCTTGGCCAGCGCTGGCAGTCGGCTCCCAGCCCTGGCCCAGCCCCCACCAAGACTCCCAGCCTCCAAACCAGCCAGCTCCCAGCCGCCCCACACACCACCTCTCGCACAGCCGCACACCTGGGGTATCTGCGTGGTCTTGCCCGACCCCGTCTCGCCCACGATTATGATCACCTGGCGGTACAGGCAGAAAGGCAGGCAGGCAGGCGGGCAGGACGTGGGTGTGTGCATGCATGCGTGTGTGCAGGCAGGCTGGCAGGCTGGCTGGCAGACGGCCCCAAGCGCGAGCGTGGCCGCTGCCGCGGGCTCCACGCAGCACGCCGCCGCCGCCTGGGATGTGTGTGCTGAGAGGAGGAGCAGAGAGTGCGGCAGTCACCTGGTGCGCCTCCACAGCCCTCAGCAGGTCCGCCCTGTGGAGAAGGGGAAGAGGTGGGAAGGAGAGAAGACAGGACGGGAGGCAGCGTGAGCCAAAGGGACGAAGTGCCGGAAGCAGCGGCAGCGGGCGGCAGCGGCCGTCGCCCGCGCGGCAGCAGGTGCTCAGCGGAACGCTCCAGCCCCTGCCCATGAACAACCGGCATCCACCCACCCACCCACACAGCGGCACTGGAGCACGGGCAGCAGCTCCACTGGCCATCAACACTCCCAACCAGCACCCACCCACCACCCACCCACCGGTACGGGAACATGGGCAGCAGCTTGCGCGCCGCCTGGATCTGCTCAAACTCCGACCGCTGCTCCGCCTCCCGCTCCTCCCGCTCCCGCTTCATGCGCTCCTCCTTGCTCTCCTCCATGTCCTGCGGTGTGGACGGGTGGCGCGTGGCAGGGGTGGTTAGGAGTCGGTAGCGGTACCGTGGAGTCAGCAGCGGTACTGCTTGGCGAGGGTTCAGGCCTACAGGGCCGGAGCAGAGGGGGCAGACGAGCGAGAAGGCGGAGGGCCACGGGCCACTCCGCACAGCGATCGGACACACCGCCGCTCTGTGTGGCAGGCAACCGCCCACCCAACTGCCCGGCACACTCGCCACACAGCCCTCCTCCCTGCTGCCCTGTTTTGAAGGAAAGTAAACGAATGACCACAGGATCAAACTCACCGGTGCTGATCCCGCCAGGTACTGGTCCACGATGAACTCGATCTGGTCCTCAAACACATAGTCGTAGGAGGCTGCGGTACGGGGAGGTACGGCCGGGCGGTACATGAGGAAGCAGAGGCGGTACATGGTCCCGGTACACGCACCAGGCCCCTGCTGCATGTGCGGGGTGCTGCCCGCGGTGCGGCCGCGGCCAAGCAACAGCACTGCGGCTCCACGCAGGTGCTTGGGAGCGCTGGTGCCGCCGCCGCCATGCACGGCCTATGCCAAGTGCGGACACGATCAATCCAGCGGCGCAGCAGCCCCGCTCAGGCCAGGGTGGCCAGGCATGGCCTCAGCACGCCCCACCACTCGCCTGCTGCCGCCGCCTTGTCCTTGGCGCCGTAGGCCGCCGACGCCTTCTTGATCTGCTGCGCCTCAAACGCCTCCTGCTGCGCCCACGGCGTCTCCGCCTCCTCCTCCGCCTCCACATCCCTGCGGGGGCGGGGCGGGGGGGTGATGTGGTGTGTGCTCGTGCGGTGGGCCCCTCGGCAGCAGGTCTGTTGCACACAGCAGCTGCAGCGCCTGTCACCCCGCTAGCCCGCCTGCCCACTAGTGCTTCCCCCTCCCATGCCCCCCCCCCCCCCCCCAAAAAA